AACAAGCTACAGTCATGCTCATCCTCCTTGTGCTTCTTCGGATCCTATAAAACTTGCATTTTTGTGCATCGCTAGCCCAGTTTCAGAAGATGTGGTAGGAAGTGTCTTTACTCTGGACAGACATACTGCTACCTTGAGCAGAAACTTCTCAAAAGATAGAAACTTCTGCCGTCACCCCTCAAAAGATGTGTGCCCTGCTTGTCCCCTTTACCAGCAAGCAGGGAGAAGGGAGGAAGGAGAAGTCGAAGAAGGATGAAGAGATTAGGACACCGGCTTGCAGAAAGAAGGGTGGTATAAGCAGAAGAGGCGAAAACAGAAGCTCCAGAAACATTCAGAGCCGCTGTTCTACTTCAACAGGAAAACAGCCTGTACTCTACTTACTGCAATCTGCAGCCCTCCAAGCTCAAGCAACACACGCTAGAGATGTCGCTACTGATGATACAGAAGATGTTTAAAAGAATACAGCATCTCACACGAAGCCCTGAACACAGTTGGAACAATGCAAGCAAGACTGACTCCCATTGCTCAAGGCTGTCAGGATGGGAAAGCAATAAACATTTGGCAATAAAAGAGACCTTCCTTCCCGACATAACTCTTCTCCTGATTTTACAGAATCATCTGGCCTTAAAACCGTCTGCTTTTCCTCTACGCTGCATTTTGCTGCCAATTCTAAGTCTGGCAAGGATGGATCTGCCAACTTCTTGGCTCTCTGTTACAAAAGAGAATATTATAAAGGAGAATTTGTGAGTTAGCTGATTTGTAAACACTACCCCAAGTCACCATGTAAACATGTCACTTATGTTCCTATTATTTCTCTCAAGCAGTTACCTGGCATCTGACATGGGATGCTAGGATTTTCCTTTCCTAAAGATATTACAGCTCGTTCACATGTAAAATAGATCAGCTTCTTTTTGTAGCATAAACCCCCTCTTTAATTAAACAGTACTCACAAAGCATCTTGATAATTAGGATAGCAGAGTCGCGGGCAACATTTTGCATACAAATGAGATCCACAGGTGCACTTGCAATAGTACAGTAGGATACAGTTCAAACGTAGCCAATTAGAGAAACAGAACAGGTAAATAAATAGCAGAAGGCTCTAGGCACATTGCTCATTTGGCATTACTGCTACCGTGCAAGAAACTTTCCAGAGATTGCTGGATAAGATGAATGCCGCAGTCATTATCTGAGCAAAAACAATTAAATGAAACCAAGAAGCACATTAATGGCGTAGGGCTTTGGAGGTTTAAACCCAGATGTTTCTTGTAAAAAAATCCCGTTTTGATATTTTAGGCACTGTATGACCATTAACTCCCAAGCACTTCCTAAGAAAGGAAACTGGTGGTGCATGAATCACAGCACGTTGTCAAGGACATCTCTTTTCTGGTGTCCATGATGGCAAATGAAATCCTCTTTCCTCTTGGAGATGGCAAACGATCGTTCTCCTCCCTGTGAACTAACACAGACCTGAACATTTTCCTTTAGCAAGGCACATTCTTAGTTTGGAGCTGCAGCATCTATTGCAAAACCCTATTCCTGGCTTATATACGGACTTGTTAGGTTACAGCAGGCAAGAAAATAAACCAGAGCTTCTCACCTGCAAGATGCAAACAACAAACATGACTCCCATTCGCTCTGATGTTCTGGAGAAGCAGTTACATGTAAATACTACTCCAACTCTGGTTATGTATAAAGGTCTCCTCTTTAAAGTTTCAGCTATATCTCTGCCAGAAAAACAGCAGAGGGAACACTGCCTGCCTGGAAGGCTCCTGAAACCAACTCTGGTTATGTATAAAAGTCTCCCCTTTAAATTTTCAGCAATAATCTCTGCCAGAAAAAGAGCAGAGGGAACACTGCCTGCCTGGAAGTGGAAAGACAGACATCAGACTGGAGCATCAATCTTGTTCACAAAATATATTTATTGTTGGTACAGAGTGAGGCATATTTGTCAGTACTTGATAGGAGTAAGGAGCACAACCGAATTATTTCAAGTAAGTAAAGGCCATGTTACGTCTTAAGTGTCGGAGCACTAACACCATTCCAGCAGAAGGCTTAAAGAGAGACTTAATTACGTTACATTATTTGTGAAATAAATTAAAGCAAAATGTACCTCATTATACATTGAACGGAAAGCTTTAATAAGAGCAATGAACACAGGCTGTACAGTATAGGGCAGCAGTTGACTCGCTCACCAAGTATTGCCATGTCCTGGCACGCCAAGTGTTACACGTGCGTTTGACAGCGAGAAGTTGTTGAAGAGATTCTACAATGAAATAGCAGCATTTGGAGGATATTTCCCCTTTCTAAGGTCAGTGAAAGGTTCTTTTCTTTTTCTTCCTTCAATCACCAATAAGTGGATTTTCCTACGACTGAACGGTATCTTCGGATGTACGATTTCTGATGTAATAAGATACAGGTCTTGGCTTTTCAAATGGTCACACTGATTGAGCTGTGATGGCTGCTGCTCTTGAAATGGCTCTTCCAGTTCTTCTCTTTATTGGTCTGCCCTGTAAATGGGCTGTCATATCATTCTTGGGAAAAAATGCTCTTCTGCTGAAATTAGAGTTGATGGTCTTGTGCTTGATTTGGGCAATGGCTTTATCCTCCTCTCCCAAGCATGCTCTGCTAAAAGAAAAGGAGGGGAGGGAAGAGAGGCAAAACACTTATTTCAGTAGTTCAAAGTTATTCTAGACACTCCATGAAGTTTACTAACATTTCCATCCTAGTATTAGTAGCATAATATTAATAACAGATAAATTAAAACACAGTAAGAGAGACATTGCCAATACTCATGTCAGCACAGAGATAATTCCCTAGGGCAAATGAGGATGTTTGAACACAGCACCTCAACAGGACAGACACTTGGAGGGCTGAAGAGCTGCAGAAACCATTCTTGCTTATCCTTTCTAATGGTATCATGGCTCATAGTCATGCTATGGCTAAAGGAAAATAAAGCATCTGACCTTATGATAAGATAAATCTCATTGCCAGAATTTACACACCCTAGGGAATTTATCCTGAAGTCACAGCATGCTAAATACCTCCCCTACCTATCTTCTTCCTGCGTTTCGAGTCATAATCAAAATCTCAATGGTCTGGACATGTTGCACTGACCTCATGCTTTATTAATCACTTCCAGTGCACAGCCCGGTCACTAAGAGCTAAAAGTATGGATCTATCAAGTAATCCAAGAATGCTTCCTACTGCAACACTGAAAAAGTCCTGCCAAAAGGTCTTGACTCTATTCAGAGAAGTAGTGGCCTCTGCTATGAAAATTCAGACTTGGAAAGACAGTGTTAGGGGTCTACCAAGACCTTCCTGTTGTCATGTTTGAGAAACAAGAGATCTGAGAGATCTGTAGAAAGAAGCACGTGTATGGATCAGAAAGGAGAAATGGGATCTATTATGACACTGGTAGGCTAGGCAGTACAAACATGCTAAAGGCTATCTATGTTCATGGAAGGACTAGCAAATTAATCACGGAAACCCATTGATTCTTGACACCAAAATCCTCCCAAAAGGGGATGACAGTAAGAGCAGTTCTGAATTTTTCTGGAAAAAAAGTGGTGGGAAGGGATTTGACAAATTTCACGGCCCATGTCACAAGTAAGCCCAAATTTAAACTTTAAAATCTTGTAAGAAAATTACAGGCAGTTGGTACCAACACTTGAGCAGGACTGGACTGGATGATCTGTAGAGGTCCCTTCCAACCTCAACCATTCTGTGATTCTGTGCCTGTGACTCTGGGCTGTGCTGTCAAAGTCATGAAAATTAGGGCTCAGAAGAACGAAAAGGAATAGGAGGCCATGTACTTCTTTAACCACTTTCTCACAGTATTCTTAAAAATAATCTGAGGTACCGTTCAACTAGATCCAACAGTGTTTCTTCAGGAAAGATGAAGACAAGCACCATAGAACAGGAATCTGAAACGGGGGCAAACGTCCTTGCGACAGCAAATGCTGTTCGGAGGCCACACTAGGGATGTGCCCACTGACAAAATAAGGAGAGTCAGTTTTATGGTCCCCAGGTGCCATTATAAACAAAGGTAAGGGAAACTTTTATTAGTTAACAAAATCTCCAATCTCTGTTTTGACAGCAAGCCCGCAGAGACCTCTCTCAAACTGATGAAGGCCATTTTAACAAGGAGACTGCTTTGCTGCGGTATTAAGGAAACTTGCTTGCAGCTATTGCTGGGCTGAATATTAACTTTACTTAAATTTAACACTGCATAAATTAACACAGGAAATTCCCTGAAGAGTTGAAGAAAAACCACCTCCACATTACTTTTCTTTCATTTAACACTGCAAAGGAAGAAACTGCAGGCATTTGCTGATCACGTGCAGACTTCTGACCGCAAGATTTCATCTTCGCACAGGTAGGTGTGTTTCAGGACTTTATTTCTGGGCACATTTCCATTTCCTCTATATTCTTTACCAACTTTTGCAATTTAACATCAACTGTATTTTCATTTCATGTTTTTCACTCATGTTTATTCATGACACCAAAGTAGACATGAAAGCAACATGGTCCGAGCCTTCCTTCAATAGTGATAGCTTAAAGGGTCTCCATAAAAGACAAGGTCTTTTTATTGCATTTCAGTTTCAGCATTACCACCTATGCTAATTTTCCCATTAGGTTGAGATATGATAACGAGTGCTTTACAAAAAAAAAAATCAAAACATAAGGAAAAAATACTGAAGGACAAGGCTAAATAAAAGCGTTTCATTCTGACTTGGACACATGATTAAAGACCACTCTCTCCTACAAATTAAAATTATATTATGGTGAGCCTGAAGAAGGTATTTTCAAGCCCAAGCTGCATGCAGAATCTTTCATCCTTAATAAATACAACAGTCTAACAGCAAACTGTACCACACTGCCTTTATTAAGATATACTGCAGTTGTTTTTCTGTATAGGAATTATGAGACTCTGGCAGCAGCATTGCTTCTGTATCCCTGAAAAGATGCGGGTATTTCTACACCGCATTTTCTATATTAGCTGACAGCAAAATAAGTGATAAAAATGCTGGTGGATGGTGTGTATTAGCACACAGTGACTTTTCTGGCTGGAATGGGATCCTTCAAACACTCGGAACAGAAAACTCTAGCATCTTGCCCTTAATGGCTCCATTAAGCAGTTTCTGTCTCCACTTCTATTGTAATACAGTGCAAACATTAATAATACATTTTAATTTATCTCGCTAGCTTCTTAGGACTTTGGGAAAAGATTCGAACCGAAGATACAACAACGTGTCAAACTCTTTGGAATTAACAGCTCTGTGGGCCTTTCTAACAAGGGGAGAAAAGGACAGATAGAGACATGAGATTACAGACAGGATGAGAAATAAGGAGCACACCGAAGAGAGGGTGAGACAATTATAAGCAAGATAGGAAAGAAAGAGGAGTCAATAAATTCAATTTATGAAAAGCACAGAGTGTGCTCAGCCTAAGCACAAGTGCCTAGACTCACCGCCAGGAAATCGGATTAGTTAACTTATTTGGTTTTCAATATCTTGGTCTATTCCCTCTAGCAAATTCTCCTCTCTGTTTGTTCCTTGCAGCCGGCGTCAGTTAACTTTTTCATTTCTGAGTTTGCTATTTACCCCACTCCGCCGTCGTCCAACCAAGCACACGCACTGGGTAATTTTGCAGCATTTTGTAACAGCGCTGAATAATTATTTCCAAGTAACTGTTTGCCTGGACTTTAGGGCAATCAGCGAGTAAAAATAATTGCAACTACAGCTGCAACACATGAAGGATGAGCTCTAGAGGACTGATGTTCATTATGAAAAACCATCGTTCCCGCTTGCAAATATTTCCATCATAAAAGGCTTCTCCCTTCTCTGTTATCATAAGAGAAACCTCTCTGAATTCCCATCTTGAAACATGTGCAAAAGAGAAGCAGCAGCATTTAGGAAACACTTTTAACTGCCTGACAGGCTTAGTTGAAGATCTTCAACAAATCAGGTGTCTAAAAGGGTTCAAAAACCTTTTGCTCATATTTATGCAATTTTCTCTTCCTGTATCTTCTAAACATGAATTAATTCATCATCATCTTCAGAAGAGATTCACAGTAGATACAAGCTTAAGTTATATCTTAAACAGATATAATTAATGTAAACTTTGTAATTGCTTTTAAAATTAATATGGGGTTATAAATATAGTAAATAAATGCTGCAGGTGATGTAAGCCACAATGAAAATCTCATGTCCTTGTTTTAAAATGTCTCAAGAATTTCAATTTTGGAATCCAAAAACAAACAAACAAAAAAGAAAAACAAAACGAAGCCAAACTAAAGGAAGACTTAGAAAAAATAAATACATACACAAATTTTTATGTATAGCACAGTAGAAAATGAACAAAATTAATTAAAAGGATTAAAATTCTTTTACAAATTCTTTGTTAAGAAAAAAAACATAGACTTCATTTGTTTTGGGGAAGGTAAAAACGGAGATGAGCAAAACTTGCTGGCTGGAGAACTGCTAACAGAACGGCAGCTGGGTGCCACCCTTGGGTGTCTGAGCAGGGCACCTTTCCAAAATTGTTAAAATATCAGTAGAGAAAGTCAGGCTGGGATATGAGGAAAGGTTTTCACGAGCAGGGAGGTCTGGTAGATGGTGGGATCTTTAAGGAAGTGGAGGAGCACAAGAGCTTATCGCCCTAACAAGCACCAAAGCATGGACCAAAGGATGCAATTTGGAAACGTCAAAGGTGACCTCATTGGCCCTGACGTCTTGTGGCTCCTCTGCAGCACAAGTTTCCCCTCTCAATAACCACATTTAACACTAGAGTGATTTCAGAGCTGTCTTGACAGCCATACAAATTGTTCCCGTCCTGCACGGCTGCACGTTGAGCGAGCGCAGCACAGCCGAGCTGTTCAAAAACTACAAAATTAGTTAAGTAAAGAATTACAATAACATATTAAGTGCCGTAGATTGTGGGAAGAGCACTGGCACTGCCACACAACGTTGTCTCCTCCTACGGTTTGCACAGCAGTAGGTCACGAGCAGCGTTAATTCCAGTTACACCTCCAGGAATATCGGGGCACGGCTGATCCAGCACCACAGCCAAGAAGTCATAGGGAATGCCAAGCTCTTTCTGCCTTTCCTTACAGGCAGAATTAACTCCGTGAATATGATTATCATTACCAAATACTTAGAAGTGCTTGCCGAGCCTTTGCTAAACACATTACAGCATGTGTTTTTACATATTCAAATATTAGTTCATAGACTTTAACAGAAATAAAGCTCAACAGACTTATTTCAGCTCTTTTTATGTGCATTATGCAGATGGCCTACGAGCATGTTTCCCACCGGCTTTTTTAAGAGCACAACTGAGGCCAAATTATGCATCTTGTGTTTGAATCAACACAAGCAGGTAAAAAAAGATTCACGTTTAGTAATTTTAATTTCTTATAATGAAACATATACATATTGCTATCTTTTTTTCTTCTTCTTATGCTGCACTAATAAAGCATAGCAGTTTATAACCTAAAGTTAAAACACTGCAGCAAAGGTGACGACAGGAGGGCAAGACCAGGTAAAGAGCAGCATTACATTCTCAGTGTATATAACATTAAAGAAATCAAGACTTCCAACTGGTTGGCAATCTAGCTCGAGCCATCCGTGCATTTACTACTGGAAGTGGTCATATTTATGACGAATAGTATCACTTAGTTTAATCTCCTTGTCTTACTGCTAAAATTGCAGATAGCAGGAAACATCTGCCAACAGCCATAGCTCCTGCACTAAACAACACTTTCCCAAGGGAAGAGATGGAAAGCTTATCATTTAAGTAAATTGAAAGTGGACTCCACCGAGCTCCTGAGAACATACATCCTGGGATACTGTTCTAGCACGGAAGAGGCACTAATTGGATAATCCTCTATTCTTCCTCCCTTTTTTACACTATTAATATTTCAGTAGCAATTTTCCTACACCCACCTGTTTGGCATGATTGACACAGTGCAGGTATTGGCTTGCCAGCGCAGAGCAGCGAAGGGTCTCCTGAGCATGCTGCTGATAACACTGCAGGATTTTACCCTGCAGGTCAGCGCAGACTGGATGAGATTCATATCGCCTAGGGGAAAGAAAACAGAGCATTTTAGTTCACATCTCAAAAAGATTTCAGGAAAGACGTTTTTTCAGGAAGAAAAAAAACTAAATAAGAAAAGTTTAAATACCCTAAAGTTACAAAGAAAAGTTGTTCTAAAGCTGCTTGTGTTGTAATCTGGATAACCTCAGCCACGAGCGCTGCAGAAGACTCCAGGTGTCATCCAGAAGCAACACTTGGTTCCAGCTGGAAGAGCAGCTTCCTGCGAGCAACCACCTCTTGCTCAAGTCTGACAACAACCAAGTGTCTGATCTCATTCACTTCCATTTAAACACCACAAGGACACATCAAGTTTCATCATTGCTAAGTCCTATCATACCACCTGGCTATTTACTAAATATTCACAGAATCACAGAAGGGTTGAGGTTGGAAGGGACCTCTGGAGATCATCTAGTCCAAATCTCTGCTAGGGTCACCAAGAGCACATTGCATAGGATCATCTCCAGGTGGGTTTTGAAGATCTCCAGAGGAGGAGACTCCACAGTCTCTCTGGGCAGCCTGGTCCAGTTACTGCTCACGTGTAAGAGCGTGCAGGAACGATCACGTGCTGGGTTCATCTGGAAAATATTAAAAACCTGCTACCATGAACAAATCATGCAATCTACTTCTACTGATCTTCTGATCAGCACTGGTTTTGGAGCATGCTCCTTCCCTCCTGCTGCCCCTCACTTCACTTCCAATCCTGATGCCAGATGTGCAGTTTACTTAGGAATTCCATCTATTTTCCTTACTACATGGATTAATTACCTTTTCCATCTTTTTGGCTGATGCAACATGCTTGTTGCTTTCAACAGAAGCTATTGGAATGGCAACTTCTCTAGTCCGCCCTATAAAAATCTACCCTCTTTTGGACAAAAATGTTGCCATCACACTTACCTATACAACGTTATGCACAGTGACAGCGCCACAGAATTAAAACGGGAATACAGCGCCTTCCTATTTCAAAAGCCAAGTGACTGGAAAAGGGTTTTAGAGATGAAATGTATAATGCACCAGGAAGCTATCTGGACATTGTAAATACCTTCTTAAGGTCTGCACTTCTAGAGGAGACAACTAGATGAGTTAAAACCCTTTATCACCAAAAATAAAATACCTTTTTTTTTTTTAACAGCAAAAAAAACCAACCCACAAAACTCTACAGAAACAATTTACAGTTCATGTAATTTGAAAACCACCGTTTGCTTTAGGTACATGAAATGTATACTTAATGCCTCTTCCCATTTATCCTGCAAGGAAAGCAGGCAAATAGCTGTTTTAACCTACCTTCCAGCCTATATTATTTTTAGCTCGATAAGGCCATAAAAGGAACGAGACTCATCAGCCAGGGTATTCTCAGATGAATGTTCTGCTCCTCCTTATTTTGCTGATGGGCCAAGTCAGATCTATATTTTACTAGAGTATGAAAGTGAACCACGAAGCACAATACTGTTCCTTGGGGGAATTCACTTCTTGGCAAGCACACAAAATCTAGTACCAAAAAGAAGTGGAATGTTAAGTCTTCTTGATTTTACAGTCTATACCTACATAAAACATTTCTCTTCCTCTTTTCATTCATTACCGTACAACTGTGAGTGGCCTAAACCAGAATTTAAATGCAGTCCCATGTGCTTAGGGAAGTTCAAGCTTCTGCAGGCTCTGACGGGCAAGGATTTTCCCTTAATCCCCCCTTTGCTGATATCAGCAAGGATTTCAAAAGGCTGTTTGTTAGGCATCAAAATGCCTGGCTGCCAAATGCCGCCAGCAGCCTGATTGCGTCGGGGTCCAGGGCTCTATTAGGATGGAGTAGAAGGACAAGATGAAGCTCTGCATATGCTCCTTGTAGACATACAGCTCACAGCTCTGATGGTTTGGGTCCAAGAGACCCAAACTCTGCCCTGGATTGATCATCCCATCCAAGAGAGCGCCCGTTAACAAAACCCGCGCACAATAAACCAAACTTTGCCTTTATTTGCAAGCAATTTTAAAGACCTTCATAGAGGCAGGTCTTCTATAAACCGTGACGTGAGACGGATATGGACTTCTGTGCACGTACTGCATAAATCCTGCAAATGTGTTCAAAGCCATTTCCGAGGGGGAACCCACTCTAACCCACATTAAGGGGCTTTCTTGATTGCTTGCCCTCCCTGAGCCGTGCCATTAGTGACCATTCCAAGTGCACATATTATCCCTTATTTGAATGTTTCAACGGATACTTTACACGGCTGTCAATACCCAAGCGCTGCAGGCCCGTTCATTTCCTGCCCCACAGGCACTTCTCTTCATACCACGATTTTTCACTGGCGATTTCTCAAAATACCCTCTCAGCCCAGGCCGGGAGCGACGGGAGGTCAACGTGAACGGAGCCAGTTCCTTGAAGCAGACAACGTCCATTTTCTTGGATTAATCTGCTCAAGGAGAGCACCGTCTCTGTATTGATCTGCTGTGCTTTTTATGCCAGCCTAATGCACTATTTGCACTTTTGGGAAAACGCTAAATGAGATTACTGTCTAACATTAGATGGCCATAAACCATACGCTGCAGAATCTCCCATTCAGGAAAGAAAGTTCCAATGTGCATTATGGAAAACCCACCAAAGAGTCTGCGATTGATTTCTGTTTGCTGATGTATGACAGGACTCTTAGATGGACAGGCAGGAAAACAGCCAAAGGCAAGAAAACTCCTTAAAACGGAAATGAAATATCTCCCTAAAGGAAAAATTCGTTAATGTTCCTTTAAATAAGGATCATTTTACAAAAGCATTTCATGGTCTGGAAGGTTTGACTGAAGAGAAAGCTTAAAAAAAATTAAACAGTGCAAAAACAGTAATTACATGGAACCACTAGTGGTCCTTTTTTAAAAAAAACACACAAGCAAAAAAAAAAAAAAAAAAAACAAAAAAACTCTTGCTTTTCCAATTTTTTGCAGTTCCCAAAGTGTTTAAATAGCTGCCCTATGAAACCACCATCACTATCTTCCAACCCCACATCTTTAACTAGATTACTTCTTCCCATAACTTTCTCCCCTCCTGGAAGTGATCATTCAAATCAGAATTGAGGAAAGCCCAAAGATGCAATAGAAAATGAGCAGTAGATTTAAGGTGACCAGAGAACAATATTCTTGTTAGGGCATTATGGTCTAGATAGGTGAACTAAAAAAATGGTTGGGCTCAGCCTGGACAAGAGATGGCTCTGGGGGCACTGTGCTCTTCACAGCGCTGCATGACACCAGGACAAAAGGCAACGTGTAGATGGAAACCAGAAAGCTTCAAAGAGGATATGAGGAAAACCTTTTCACTATGAGGACAGTGAAATGTTGGAACAGGTTGCCCAGATAGGTAACCTCCATCACTGAAGGCCCAAAGGATCCATCACAAGGCCCAAAAGGATAATGCAACCTGGCTTGATGTCAGACTGGACCCTGCTTTGAGCAGGAGGTTGGACTAGAGACCTCCTGAGGTCCCTTCACGTCTGAATTACTCTTTCAACATCCTGAAAGGGAGATCTATATTTTGAGTAGATATGTGGCAGAGGAGGTGCCTGACTTCACCTAACTTCACCACCTGAAAATTTCACAACTATACCTAAGAAAACAATGGAAAAATACAGTGTTACAGTGAACAAGGAATGACAGGACACCCTGACAGATCTCAGTCTCTATTGAATGTGACTCAATTACTTTGCAGAATCAACACACGTGAAGTTTAAAATGCCTTTCCTTAGCAAAAGTCAATATGAACAGCACTCTGCTCTGCACTGTGCACTACCCGGCACAACAGTAACGACTTGTTTTTATTAAGTTTACAATTACTTGATCTGCGCTCGCTTTCCCAGCTGCTCCTCGAGCACCTTTCCGTCAAAGAAATATTCCCGTGTACCGGAATAAGCCTCAGAGGAAACCACACACCCACCTTTTCAATCAAGCTGATGCAACAGAATCTCATAAAGGTAACAGGATGAAGACACAAAAGAAAGTAAGAGAAAGCTTTAAAAAGAATTATTGCATGCCAACACACGAAGGGAAAATTTAATGAAAGCAGCTTTGTACCCATGCAGCCTCTCTCAAAGAGCATAGCTTATTGTATTCCTGGGGGCTCCAAGAAAGGATCCCCTTCCTAACCTTCAAAAAAAAAATGTCTACTAAAGAGGAGATTTGAAATCACCATGGTAAGCTGTACAAGTTTGGGGATAAAACTGACACTCTGAGTGACAGGATCCGAATCGCTGATGAGTTTCCAACTGTGAAGGTATCCAGTCAAATCCCACCAGATGAGGACTTGAGGCAATTGTCATAAAACTGTAATAAAAGTAGCATTAATAATATAATAGTAAAAATAACCCTGACACCTTACAAGAGCTAGTGCCATTAACTGGCCAGAAGTACCCAAAGACTAATTTTATTCCTCATTAAAATCCTGGAGTCCATCAAAGCTTCTATTTCCTCAGCGTGCTTATAATGCACAGTGGAGATAAGAAACAACCGGCTGATGCAAACAGATGGTAACACAAAAGGAAACTGAGGAAATTTTTTCCCCTGGTAGGCAGCCAGCTAAGCACAGCAACAGCCTGATTAATTGCTTTCAATTTACTTATTATTTTCAATTACTTTATAAGAATCCGACAGGATTTTTAGTGGGATTTGTGGGAAGCTGATCAATTGTCTCTCTCTATGTCTACCAGAAGTTCTTCCCAAGATCAAGAGGCAACCCAACCTGGTGCTTGATGGAAAACTGGAGAAGCAAGTGATGGAAGCGAGTGTCACGAGTAGATCAAAGAGAAAGAAAATGGGGGTCAGAAACACACGGGGTGGGAAAAGAGCATTTCCCACACTAACTGATATTGTCAAAACATACTGTCAAAATGTCACCTGTCATGGCCAGGGGAAAAGTTTTTGCAGTAACTGGTATGCTCAGGTATCATCTTTGGGATGCATTTAGCTGAGGAGATGGATGAAAACGCCGTTTTTCAGATATTTTGCATGAAGAGTCAGCA